ATTCCAGTCAAGGGCATGTACCTTGGTTGCAGGCACATCCCCAGTAGGGGGTGTGCAGGAGGCAGCTGATCAATGTTTCTCATCCATGTTTCTAACTCTCTATCCCTCTCCCTTCCTCTCTGTAAAAAAATCAATTAAATATATCTTAAAAAAATATATTTATTATGTTAAGTACAAAGTATTCTAAAATCAAGTAAGTATAATGGTTTCAGTTGCCTGCCTTTCTATATTCTCATGTGAAGATAATCAAGCATTCTTTATATTAACTACCCAGCTTCTTCAAGGAGGGAGTTGATAGAATTTTAGAGAGAGATTAATTCATAGTAATTAATGATTAGATTAGGATAGGTTATGTAAGTATCTAAACTGAATTCATTTTTAGGCGGTTGCTTGTTTGCTCTTTCCTTTTTGTAGCATGTTAATGCAACCCTGGACCTGATCAAGGGCCGCATGACTGTACAACAAAGAAGACTTTTGATCCATACATCATCATTAGGGTCAGAGACCTAATAAAACTATTAGCAAGGAGTGTTTCATTTGAACAGGTAAATTTACAGTTACAGAGATTCTGCTTTATTTGTGCCATTAAAGATGATATAGCACTGCTTCTGTCCATCCCATAGAGTTTTCATTATTCTGCTTAGATATCAGTGTGGGCTTTGAAAAAATAAAAGTATTTGTAAAGACATCGGTTGAATATTTCTTTGTTTTTTTCAAAAGGCAGTATGAATTCTTCAGGATGGGGTTGCATGCGATATCATTAAGTTGTTTAGTAAGAAATAAAAAAAGATTTGTAAAAAAGAGGATCATGGCTTATTGGTCCCAAAGGATCTACATTGAAGGTACTTTTTATCAGTAGGAAACTTGAGTATCTTCTTTGTCATTAAGTTTTTCAGTGTATTTCAACTGAATTTCAACTTATTGTTCTTTTGATGTAGGCATTGGAACTCTTAACAAACTGTTGAATTATGGTTCAGGGAAACACGGTATCAGCCATTGGACTTTTTAGTGGCTTAAAAGAGGTGAGAACAACTTAATATATTTAGTTAATTTTCAGCAGAGAACAAATTAAATAACTTGGTTATTTTTTTTTTATGATTGTATTGTTTTAGAACGTGCTTTGCTTGATTTCCCATTAGTAAATGCTTTGTACTTCATGGAATTTGAGGGAGCCATTGCTCCTGGACCCTAACATATTATGGCCAACCTTTGACAATTACAGACATCCATTTCTCAATTAGAAAGTCTGCACACCATCACTCCTTCCACTACACATTTTAGTTACATGTGCTCAAATATTAGGGACTGAACAGATGTTGTTATTTGCAGGAATGTATACAGCCAGTTGAGGTCAAACTCAAATTTTCTTTTGTTTGAATTTATTATAATGTTTTCATGAACATTTATTTTAACTTGTTATGAGGAAATCTGCTGAGCAGATACTGTTCTAATTGGCTCCCTTTGATGCTACTGTCTGAATCTGGCTGTGAGGTCTTGCTTTTTCCTTTCCAGGGCCTTTAATAGAACTCTCTTGGACCTCCTTCTTAGAAATGATCTGCCCTTTTCTTGTGGGGCAATAATAACTTAAATACATTGAATACTTTGTAATTCTATAAAGTGTAAATACGTTATTCAGTTCTTACAACAGATCCTTGAGGTATCTTCATTTCTGCAGTGCAAATGAGAAAGCTGGAAGAGGAAAATTAAGTGTCTTTCCCATATAAAGTGGCAGTCCCATTATTCGAGCCCACATATTCTGACTTTGAATCCTGCTCTCTTCCCTCTAAATTGCAGTTGCAGAGTGTTACACTCGTTCTATATGTCACATTTTCGCAGTACAATTGAGTAACATCATTGTACTCAAGGTTGACTATTATGAAAGATCTAGCAGCCACTAAAAGCAGTTAAAGGAACTATTATATTCAATTGGCAGCCACTGCCTGGTTTGTAGGATATTTTGCAATATAGTAATCCCCTTCTACCTTCTGCCTAGCTAATTAAAATCTTTATAAGTGACTAATTCATTTTTCTTTGCAAATTTCCGGTTTATTTTAGATTATATTGAACCTTGTTTTTTTTAATTTAACACTGAGATTATTTATGTTAGCCTTTTGAGAGAAATATATCCCTGTGTGCAAATTCATGACCGGTTTATTTTAGATTATATTGAACCTTGTTTTTTTTTAATTTAACACTGAAATTATTTATGTTAGCCTTTTGAGAGAAATAAATCCCTGTGTGCAAGTTCATGGCTGTTCTTGGAAATGTAACCATGGTATAATGAGCTGTTTTATTTATGACGGGTATTTGTTGAACAGTCCAGTTAAATTTGGTGATGTTAGGGTAAGTTTAAAAGTCTCTATTAGATTGATGTGAAAGAACAATTTTGAGTTACATTGGTATATTAAAGATAAAGAGAGCTAGTCATGCATCTGATGCCTGTTTTGCATCCTTCTGTGTACCAATGTCTATAAAATTCAAATGGCATTGATTAGGTGGTTGAGTTCTGTTAAAAGGACCTGTAAATACTATCAGATTATTATTTTTATTACCAAAATCTTGTTTAAAAAAATTCTACTGGTCATTCATTGAACTAATACTTGGAAAACTTTTAAGTTTTTATGGGGTATTAAATGAAGTATATTTTGACCTATAATTTCCTGATTAGTTAATTAAATTAATGAAGCTGGAAGGACTATATGTAATATTCTTCATGAAATGTAATTTTGCCCTGGCCAGGTAGCTCAGTTTTTAGAGCATCATCCCGATAACACCAAAGTTATGGGTTTAAATCCCAGTCAGGGTACATACATATAAGAATCAACCAATGAATGCATAAATAAGTGGAACACCAAATAGATGTTTCTCTCTATATATCTCTATCTCTATCCCTTTCTCTATCTCTCATCAATAATAAACATTTTTAAAAATTTAATTTTTAATTATTTTAGCATGCGAGATGGAAAATTGGCATATTAATGAGTACTTTAAGGTACCAAAATATAGAAAAGAATATAAGTAAAAATAATATGATTTCAAGTGTGATTTAAGGGGAAAAAATGTAGTTGAATCCAGTTAAATCCAGTAATTGGTTCAGGTAGCTAAACTATAATGCCATTTTTATGTATATGTTCACTAATGTATTTTTAAAGTATTATTATTATTATTATTATTTTCTCTTAAAGACATTTCTAACTTTAGGCTGATGGCAAGTGCTTTATATTTTATAACATTAACTTCCAATTATAACAGTATTCTGAAATTAATTGTACTAAATATATATTCTTTATGTTTCACTTGGTAAAAATCTAAAGAAATACACATATTGTGTTTATTTGTCTAGCTTCTATTGAAACTAAAATTGACGTGGCTGCCATCAAGGAAAAGGTTAAGAAAGCAAAGAATAAGAAACTGGGAGCTCTCACAGCTGAAGAAGTTAAGCTTAAGATGGAAGCAGATGAGAAGAAAAAAAAGTAATACCCACACACACATACATAACCTGAACTAGAACCTACTAAGACATCTCTTTTTATAAAAGACTTTGAGATACTAGGGCATTAGTTGCCTTATGTGTAAGAAGTAATATTCTAATTATTTTTTTTCTGAATGTGTTTTTCTTTATGAGAGTATATGTATGGCTATTCTTTATAAATATAAATTATTGTATTCTCCATGTGCTTTTTGAACAATGTTGTACTAGAGAGTGGTATATATGTCTTTATTTACATTGCACCTAATCTGTTCTAGGCAGGCTTTGTCTAGCATGATTTTAGGAGTAATTAAAAAAAATTCTTTTTTTCTTTTTTTTTTAATCCTTACCCAAAGATACTTTTCCATTGATTTTTAGGGGAGAATGTAAGAGAGAGGGAAAGACAGAGAGAAACAATCGATGTGAAACACATCGATTGGTTGCCTCCTGCAGGAGCCCTGACCAGGGCTCTGGCCGGGGAGGAGCCTGCAAGGGAGGTATGTGCCCTTGACTGGAATCGAACCTGGGACCCTTTGGTCTATAGGCCAAACCGGCTAGGGCTAGGAGTAATTCTTTCGTTTGATGTAAAGATTTTTGAAATGTGACTCTTGTAATTATCCAACAAATCGAATATCTGATTTGGTTAAATACCTACAACTATGTCCCAGCATTTGGTTTTGAGGAAAACAAATGCAGAGTTTTCAGTGCTCTCTCTACTGATAACAAACATTTAGGCTTATTCCTTTCTGTAATCTCATTTTATGTTGTGTTCCAAGATTAAACAACTCATAAGCAAAAAAAAGCAAGGCCTCTTTAAGTTAAATTCCTTAATTACTATTCTATTCTGAATCCAGAAAAGTGATAAACCAAAAATACCTCAAATTGCAACTGGGTAAACAGATTATTTAGAGTTGAATCAGCATGCAAGAGTTATGTAGAAATGTTTATACTCATGAAGGCCTGTTGACTTATTTAGAATCACTGAAATCTAGCTCCCTCGTTTTATTTTATTTTTAATATTTTATTGATTTTTTTACAGAGAAGAAGGGAAAGGGATAGAAAGTTAGAAACATCGATGAGAGAGAAACATTGATCAGCTGCCTCCTGCACACCCCCTACTGGGGATGTGTCTGCAACCAAGGTACATGCCCTTGACCGGAATCAAACCTGGGACCCTTCAGTCTGCAGGCCGACGCTCTATCCACTGAGCCAAACTGGTTAGGGCTACCTCCCTCATTTTAGGTTACTTACTGAAAGTCACTGTGGCAGCCTGAAAACAGTGCTTTTTCATAGAAACATGGAAAGTAAAGGTGAGTTTATCCTGTAGAGTGAGGACTTTGAACAATTTTGGTTATGGCTTTACTGAAGCAATGTAATTTTTTTCTGGAATGTTTTAAACTTAGAATTATACCCAATTGTTATTTTTAAAATATCTTATACAGATGAGTTTGTAAACTTTTTTAAAAAAATATTTTTTTTATTGATTTCAAAGAGGAAGGGAGAGGGAAGGATGGATAGAAACACCAGTGATGGAGAATTACCGATTGGCTGCCTTTTGCACACGCCCTACTGGGGATCGAGCCTGCAACCCCGGGCATGAACCCTGACCAGGAATCAGAACAGTGACCTCCTGGTTCATAGGTCGATGCTCAACCACCGAGCAACACTGGCCGGGCAAGTCTGTAAACTGTATTTTTCTGGATTGTATTAGTCCAAAAGAACTAAATGTTTGTACTTGACCAAGATGGTAATAATAGCAGCCAGGATTAGTACTAGTGGACTAACAATGAAAAAGAGAGAGAGGGATCTGTTACGTATATATATCGGCCAGTCTGGATACACAATAGAGTAGTAACCTGTGAAACAAACACAAAATATCCTCTTAAATGTTGTTTTCATAATGCAGTAACATAATTAACACAGACTTTAATGAAACAATTAAGATTTATATACATACGTGTGAGTTTGTCTCGCTGTGTGCTAACTGTAAAATCAGAGAGAAGAAAAAAAATTAAAAGAGTAGGTACTGGGGAGGCTTTTGTTTTATTTTAAAAAACCAAGTTTCTAATTATAACTACTAACTGTTGCTTTGACTTTATTGCAGTGATTTTCAAAGGTTACTTTTTAAAGATTTTATTGTACTAACTGTACTCACTTGATATTTTTAAAGCAACTTTTATATAAACTAAACTTTTTATGTACCACTACTGTAAATGGAAAATCATTTTACATATCATATCTAACAGATAATGAATCCAATTAAAATAAATATTAAAACATTAAATTTTTAAAATAAAAAATATTAGTAATATTGAGTGTGAGCAATTTATTAAAATATTTTCCTGAAAATAAGTTCCTCCCTTAGAAGAATGATGCTGTTTATGATCAGTCAGTAAAAGAGAGACAGTGGCCTCTCTCATCCATTTCATTATGTTGGTAAATTACATGTAGGAGCATTTGGCAATCATAGTCATATCTACTCCTCTCCCTTCACTGAGCTTTATTCAGAATTTGACACTGGAGCACTAGGAAGAAAACTTTGCATTTGCCTTCGCCTTCTTGATACTTTTTTTATAGTCAAGACACCTTTTGACACCAATCCTACTCCAGCTGCTATTGGATTCCTGTGGTAGAACCAAAAAGGATCTGGCCCTCTGGGTACCTGTGAGCATCCCTGATCATCACACCTGGGCTTTTTCTGTGTTCAGTTACTGTGAAGCTGCTAGACTTCACACAGTTTTCAACATTGGTGGTTCTGTAGTTTAGTTGTAATTTTGATGTGGTTGTGGGAGGAAGTGAATACAGCATTTACCTATGCCTCCATCTTGGCTGGAAGCCTGGGCATATTGTTCTAAAATCTATGGTTTTAATTCCTATGCTATAAAACCTAACTTGTAAAACATAATAATTTGCTTTGTAGTGTTGTAGCAACATGAAAGGGAAAATTCAGTAAATATATTGATATTCTGAGAAGAGGTTTGTTGCATTTGGACTACACCTTACCAAGTTCTCCTAACAAAACTGATATGAGTAAAATAAAGAATGCTTGAACTAGGGAAAAAGGACTGGCTCAGAAACCTGGTCGATAAAGTGTTACTGTTCTTGGAGGGAAGATGAGAGTTAACTGTTTACATCAGGAGAAAAGGAACGGGCAGTTTAAAATAATTTTGTAATTTTAGACCTGGAAGGGGCCTTAGAAAACACGTAAGCAGCGGAATGCTTTTGTCAAACAAAATTTATGCAGTTAAACTCGGTCCACTCTGCCCTGCCTCTCCTCTAAGAACCTCACCCCGGCCCTGGAGCTCTGGGAGTTCAGTGGGTTACAGATGTGGACACTAAAGTACTACACAAAAGGATTTGCATAACTTCAACAGCTTAATTGAGTTTTCCTTTCTTCACATCATAGGAAAAAGAAATGTGTCTGGAAGAGGAACTTATAAATAAACTCTTGGCCAGTTATGGATTATTATTTCAAAATTACAAAGCAGAATTTTGCTAGGATGTTTGGTAAAACATCCTTGAAGTTATCTTCATTGGCTTTCTACACCATCCTCATTAAAATATTGTTTTGCTCATTTAAGAAGTGCCCCATTACAGCTTCTTTCATTTATTCTATAGATGAAGATGCAGCCTTGAGTGCCTTGGACAAGTATATCACAAAATTCAGAATACTGTTCATTTGGATAGTTTCATTATACAAATTTTTGATCTTGCTGAAATTAGCAAATTTTGGGTCTATAGTTTTCAACACCATAGTCATTTTTGTGTTGTACTGATTAGAGCTAAATAAAAAGGGTACTAATTGCTTCTTTAAATTTATATTAAACATATAGTGCTAAGACAATAATAAGCCATTGGTTTGATTGCAATCTAATAGCTATTCCTGAAAATAGCTATTAGGATAAAACAAAGGTTTGCATTCTTAACTGTAGAAAGTTACAATCGTTTAAACATTGTATTATGGGTAGATTGTTTCTTTTACTCACCGCACAGGTTGTCCAAACAATTGTCATTTTGGGGGCAAGCACTGCAAGTGGATCCTTTTTTATATGGCAAAGTGGGGTAATTTCCTCTATAAAGAAGAAGAAAACTGTCTATTAGGAGAGGTTTGTTGTTGTTGTTGTTGTATTACAATTACAATTTACTATGAATCCTTGACTAAACCCATAGGATAGAAGTCCAGATTCAGAGGGTTGATAAGAGAAGTGGAGAGAGGAAAGCAGAACTGGAAGCCTGTTCACATATAGAGTTTCTTCTGTGTGCCTGTGTCTGTAAACCTGTGTCTTGGTCTACATCATTTAATTCTTAAGACAACTCAGGGAGGAAGGTATTTTTCTATATTATAGATAAGGAAACTAAAGCTCTAAGGATTAAGTAGTTTGCAAAAAATCACTATATATATGAATGTGTGTATACACACACACACACACACACATATATCACAATATATGTTAGAGTCAGAACAAAACCCAGATCGCTCTGTCTCCCTCTGACTGCCTGGCCCATGTGATCACTGTCATCCAAGCAACTGTCCATCTTAGAAAGGGTGGTGTGACCTACATTGACTCCTCCATCCACAAGCCGCCCTGGTGTTTATTGGATGGGAGCCATTTGGCTGGATAAGCACCTAACAAAAGAAAACAAGACATGGGGAATGTCTAAAGTGCAGTATAAAAGATGTGATAGGAATTATCTTACCTAATAATAGACAAACATGTAAATTGACTGTACCTTCACTACGCTAACCAGCCAATCAGGAGAGTATGCAAATTAACCCAACAAAGATGGTGGTTAATTTGCATACCTAGGCTCCAAGCGGCAGAGGGAAGCCTGAAGGCTCCAGGGCTATATATATGTATGTGTGTACACACACACACACACACACACACATATCACAATATATGTCAGAGTCAGAACAAAACCCAGATCGCTCTGTCTCCCTCTGACTGCCTGGCCCATGTGATCACTGTCATCCAAGCAACTGTCCATCTT